CTGTCATTCTATAACAATCGATTGGTCGTTTTTTCACAGTCTTACTATTCCTGCAGATATTCTTCAATTGTTATAGGTGCCATAGATTTACATAACTACAACTTGACTCGTGTTAAACCCAAACCATGCGTGCATGACAACCGTCACCCTACACACGGTTACTCAATGAATACCATACTCTACAGTAGACATTTTTCGCTCTCCACCAAAAATTGAATGGTTTTATTTCATATTAGTTGTGTCAGTGTCAGTGTCGTATTTGATTTCACATGTTTGGTTCGATCTTGTTTATGGTGGACATTATTACTACGCGTATGTATTATTACCAATTTTATATGGCCGTGTGATCCACCGTATTTTTTCAACGGTCGTTTTATAAATTTTTGATTGTATTTATTCTTATTTTAATATCATAAAAACAAAAATTACACACTTGTACATGAAACAGTAGGTAATGAACTGTAAATGCGGGCGGTTGCGCTGTCAGGCGAGCGAGCAATTGAGCGAGCGGACACTTCCAGATTTGTGCGGTCGAAAAAAAAGCAGAAATTGCGCGGTCGAATTAAACAAAGCGAGCGAAAAAAAAGTGATCGAAATCCGGAAGCGGGCGGGAGGTTGGGCGAAATGAGTACTGTATTCTACAGTATATCAATTTATAAGCCTCACAGATAAAACAAAAGATTGTTTATCGCGTCAATGAAAGTGATGACACTTGTTTTCTTTCATGTAAACATGACACCATGAAGGTAAAACAAGAAGGAGTCACAGCCAAAATAATCCTCCTAAACTTTTGTTTTAGTCAAGTTTAATCCCATAATTCTTTTTGTCTTACCGTCCTTTCACCCCAGGATCGTCGCCGACACGTCATTTAAATGTGCTCTCAAGCGTTGCTGCGTACAGTACACACTCCAAGGTCTTGTTTTACAGTGTCGCAGTAAATGTCAAAAGCCATAAAGCATGTGCAGATCTTATATACTTACAAGAATCATTTTTGTGAGAAATTAGAATTTTGAAAATCAGAGAATTTCTTGTTCATGTAATTTTTCGTATTTCAGTGCATTTTCTGTTGTATTTTTGAATATTTTGAAATATTTCGAGCACTGTTTTTTAGTTTAAAATAAAGCTAGTTTAATGAACTTTGTAACGGTGCATGACATGGACCACACCGCGTTGTACCAGAGACTGAATTTTGGGGTCTGAAATAACACTTTTCGAAGTTTTTACCCTGTGTATGTCCCACTTCATGTGGCAATGTGTCAATTTTCTTTATACACAATGTACAAGAAATTTGCTGCATTTTGTTTTCAAGCAATCGTTTCGTTCACAGCATATGCAAAACAATTCTTCAACAGTAATGTGCTCTCAGATTTCGTCTTCTGAATTGAAGGATATAGCAGTTTCAGCATCGTAATCAAACTCATGGGCGTTATTGATTGTTGCCATACTTGTATCTAAGAATTTGATTTGAATTGTCACGAAAATCAACGCGTGCTGTCAAAGGCATCGGTAAAGAAAAATCCTCCTGAAAAACTGCGAAATTACCTTAAGCGAAAAGAACAAAGACATAATATTCTTAAAACTTATGGAAAATAACATTGCTCTGTCTCTATATCTTAAAAATACCATATACAAAGCATCGCCTGTGTAAACCCCTGGGTAGGGAGAACCTTTACCTTTACTGTATTTTTATTACTTTCTGATTTTTTGTCGTTATTAGAACTTTTAAATTTGTAATTATTTTTAGTTGCTTTATTTTACACTATTTTTGTAGTTATTTTTATTTGTTTTGTTTTACACTATTTTTACCTTACTGTATCCACAGCAGATTACAGTTGCGTAATAAACTATTATTATTATTTAATAGCTTACCTCTATCTTCCACATACATCAGTTTGTCATTGTTTGACGTGGACCTGCCGTCACCAGATTCGCGGCTACCACTGGTTTTCTTCAACTGCTCTTTCTGCCAACTTCTTAAAGCATCAACAATACTCGTTTTACTGTTCCCACCCCCTGGTCCAATTTGAGGGGCTGCTTTGTCCATAACTCTTGGTGGTTGTCGACCCTCCCCACTATGTGTACGCGCATGTTCAGTTTTGGTGAGTGGATCTTGAAGTTGAGGCATACTTTTCGCTCTTGCTGGGGCCTGATTAGTGCCATTCTGCGGACCAGCTATTGTTTTTACAACCCCTTTTGTTTCCGTCCTCTTTCTAATTAGTGCTATTTTCAGACCGGCACAAAATCTCTCAAAGCTGAGGTATCCGTTTTTTGGAGTGACTTTCCTCAACGCTTCCAATACTCCACTGGGAAGCTCTTGTATGCCGTCCCCTTGCCATCGTGATTCGATATCTGAGAGATGTACCATACCTTTGCCCTCCTCGTCCAAAACGTCGAACAGTATTCTCAAAGACGAAACAAAGCTACGTGGTAAGCCATCCAGGGTAGAACCGGGGTGAACCCTTGGCGGTTTTGTTGTCATCTTGCTCATGTTGAAATGTGATTACGGTCATTTGAGACCCGCTTCAAGTTCAATAAAAGATACATTCCACAGCCAAATCATACCTGCTGTCCGTGAGGTTTTAACATGCTGGTCGCCGCCATTTTGCCGCGTTTTCAACACGATACACCAACAAACAGGTACCAAGAGTTTCCCAATGCGATCCACAGTATAAAGACAGCTGAACTGCACCACTTAACTTCAGTGGAATCGGGAGGAGCGCTGTACAGTGAACAGGTGCAAGCACTCAGTTGTGGATAAGGTGCCAGACTTATTAATGACAGTTACGATACCACACTTCCTGTTTTGTTGCCGGCTGTTTTCAGAGGGCGCACATCATCTTGACGCTGACTAACGAGGGCGCTCTTGTTAACGACACCCTTTTATTTCTTGGAGATGCAACTTGTGTTTGAAGATAGAGGAATGGCAATGGATATTTCCGTAGCTTTTATTTGCGTGAATCTGTAATTTCGATAAATAAAAGACGTAATTCCGTACGCCTAGGAATTCCCCTGCACAATATAATAGTAATCTTTATTGTTTTTGTATCCTCTATTGGTTTTGATAAAAAATTCAAAAGGGATTTTTCCAATAAAGGTTGTAAATTGTACAATAAATGCACAATATCCAATATATAATCGATATTTAATACAATATCCAAATACCCCCTTGTTGACCAATAATTATGTCTTATGAATCTTCTATCAATATTTTATCAGCGATTCAAAAATTATAATTTGTTGCCGAATGTTGCGAGACTGAACTATAGAGCAGTTAGAAAGCAGTACTAACAAAAATCACTGCACTTATAACCTCAATTTTGTTAGTCATCACAGTACGTGTTATAGATACTCGGACATGACCTCGTTATTTAACCAATATAAAGAGAAAACATCGATGACAGCCCAAAATGCCAATGAAAAGTATTTGCGCCAATTAGGTTTGGATTCGTTGACGCAAATCTATTTTAGTCACAGACTACATTGCTGCGTAAGGTGCGAACAATGCGACACACATTTCTCAAATAAATCATTTAAACACATAAAAAACAATTTTGAACATGGTTGTATTTACAGTCACATGAATTCTATTGTATTCACTGCAGGACAATATGGTATTGTATTTTGAAGCAGAGACCTAATTCTCTATTGTTCATGTGAGCAAGGTACTTACATAATGCAGACAGCGAGTGAAAGCTCAAGTAAACAATCTAACTGTGATAACAATTGACAAGATCAGAGTTCTGCAGTTACCTCAGAAACTTGCAGGCATAAGCTCATCAGAATGTCAGAAACCAACGAACAACTTGTGCAAGCTAAAAATCACTGCCACCTCATTCTTGCACAGAAAACAACTGATGGCACAATGACTCAAAACTTGTCTATTGTCCTTCAATTATATGATACATAATAACATGGTCCACATCCTTTATAATCATCTACATGCAAACAAACTCAAACAACTTAATAAATTCAAATTATTTCTAATATTCTTTATTTTACATAAAATTATACTTCACATAATCATTAGGAATCAATCCTACAATTCTAGGATATCAATTAAAAATTTCAGCCCCAAATTAAACTTGGAACCAATCAAAATATCTAGTAATTATGACTTCTTTTCAAACTAGGAAATGCCAACCATAATCAGTAACCATGACAACAATCAATCATCCTGAATTTTGTATGTAACTTCTTCTAGCTGAAATTCAGTTTCCAGAATTTGAAATGCAATGTGTTAATAAAAGTATTATTGTTTGATGTGTGTGGAAGATTGTAAAAAAAATATTCAGTTTTTCAGTGAAAACAAAAGTTCAGCAGTCAAGCCAGATAAAATACTTTTTTTGTGTTCTGGTTTATAATTGATTATCCTCTCTTTCACTGATTGGCTGAAATACTCACAAGCATGTCATGAAGAAAAGGGATTGTGTGACCCATACACCAACCAGGAAATTATTTTATTCCTGTTGAAGAAAGCAACCGACATAAAAAACAAAATAACTTTCAATGACAAATTAAACTTTAAAAGGATCTGCAATAATTGACAGAAATAAAACTGAATGAGAACGAAAGCCAGGTTACATGAATAACAATACCGGTAAATATTTTTGTTGAAAAAAAAAAACATATCTCACAAATTCAGCTACAGCAATAACAATTTCACATCCTGTTTCAATGGATACTAAAATTATATTGCCATGGTGGCTGGTGATGAAGTGGAAGAAAACTGAAAATGAAACTAACATTTTACAATTACCGGTAATATTAATAATATTACCACACCCCACCGTATTAGAAAGTTTAAGATACATTTTTTCTTGTATTTTATACATAACAGAGAGACAAAATTACCTTTGCATAGCCAAATTAATAAGCAAATTAATAAGGTGCTGTTTTCACATGCATAGCCATATGCCGAGGTGATGTTTGTATATAAATAAGCATGAATCACAAAGGTAATGTTGGCTCCGTATTACTAGCTCACATCTCTTAGAGAAGAAAATGGCGTCTTTACTGCAGTGTTATCACAGTACAAGGAATAGGGTCTACTGCTTCAACAACATGCTGCATATCTCAGTTTCTTCTTCTTTATATAACACAAGTATTAATCTTCTTACACTGATTTTCTATCTGTTAAAACTCTGACAATAGATCCTAAACCACCAGCGGCAACAGCCTGCAAATTAAACAATATTATAAATAATCAGCCGTGTTTGTATCTCAGTGAGTATATATGTGAGTAAAATGTTGTACTATATAGTAAGTGATCATTGATATTTGTAGCTCTTATTGTCATGATGAACTTTATTTTCTTTAATTGTACAAAAAGGCGAAATCAACAAAAATAAATTTTCAGCTAAATTAAAGTACTACACATAGACAATTCCTTTCAAGGCAAGCAATTGCTTTTGTGCAATTCCTTCGCACTAAGTTTCCCCCAAGAGAGCTTTTAAAAAAGCTACTTTTAATGTTAATACACACATGAAAATTCCTCCATTAACTCGCCTCAGTATTTGTTGTGAGAGGCAAAGCCTGTATACCGAGAATTTGGAAAATCTCTGACATTTTGCTCTTCATTAGTAATATCTGAATAAAATTGCATCCTGACATACACCCATCAACTTGACTAGTCTTGACTAAATTCTTTAAGCTTTTTTAATCATGTGACCCATCATTTGAACGATAAAAATATTCCTGCAAACTTGCGCCTGTCTCTCAGACATTATGCATTGTTGTGGATATAGTCCTGTGCCAGTTTATAAGATTACACCCACAACAGTGAGGTTTATAATTGTACACCCACTATAAAGCATTACCTATACTAATGTACTATTCTCAGGGTGGGCATCTGGGCATTTTCACCGCATGGCAACCATTTTGGTGAAAACAAAGGCCCAAAACTCTCTGAAAACGGTACTTTAAGATGGTTGTTGAGACTCCCCTCAACAGTGTAACAAGATTACCACTGCATGTGTAACGCATATAAATTTGATTGTTCAGAATTACTTCAAAGTTGAGTTCCTGATGTTTTCTCGAATTTCACCGGCTTGGCGTGCCGCGTTCTTCAGCAGTGCGCGCAGAGCCCGTAGAAACACGTGGTACAGTGGTGCTTGTCTTAGCAACGTGGAACGTTTTGTGATGTAGCTCTGCCCCGAGGATGAATAGTTTAATTTCCGAATGTTCATGATTTCAGGAATTTATGAAGATGGACATTCATGAAATGATGGAATTTTGCGAAAGTCATTGACACCATTTCGCAGAACACCGGACTTATTTTCACTTTTGGAAAATTTTGCTGTTTCACTGACTCGTAATTTTGCAAAAAATCTCTCACAAAATTAAAGTGGTTTAATGTAGCTTTACTGCCATGGGATTACGGCAGCAATATTATTGTCTGTTGCTAACTTATTACCTAGACCAAACTCCCTAGTTCAGTGTTCAGAATACAAGCCCCCTTATGACCATTATATTACATACCTTTTCATGCCATGTGAGGAGGGCAGCGTTACTATTGTCTGTTGCTAGTTCAAATCCTTTATAGATGTATTTCATAAGAATGTCTACTGTCTGGTTGTCAAGAGTTTTTACACTTTTTTCAATCTCGCTTGTTTTAAAAGCAGTAAGCACTCGCAAAACCAACATCATTGCTTTATCCTGTTAAAATAAAGACGAAAAATAGAGGTAAAAACTGTGTTCTCTTCTAAATCAACCTGGACTGAAGAATATATCTGATGATCTAAGAGATGGTGGCAGCGCACAAAGCTAAATGCGAATAAATACAAAAATGGGTCTTGTTTTCATTGATTGCTGCAATAATATTAATCTGGGTATTGGTCCCAGTGTTGGTGCAAGGAATTAGGCAGGTACAATGTTTGTTGAATACAACTATTGTGACCGGGGTACAGTCACTTCGCCCGAAATCCACTTCGCTCAAACTCCTTCGCCTGATTACCAGTTCGCCCAATTACCAGTTCGCCCAATTACCGGTTCGCCCAATTACCGGTTCGCCAGTTTTCCTTTTCGTCCGATTTACCGATGTTACACAGTAGGCCTACTGAGGGTTTCGATTCGAAATGTACATCTGGTAAAATGCATAAAATCTACCATATGATCACATTTTAGTCAGGGTTTTCTTGCTGATGCAAACACTGCAACTGATGTCCGCCATTGCGGGTAGTCATCCCCATTCACAATAGAGGGGTGGCCGACAGGCAATGAGACAGGTATGCATCGGCCGTCATACACAGATTTTTCACTTGTTTCACCATCAGTGTTTGAATAAAATACTTTCACAGTGGTGTCGTTGGCAGAATAATTTCAATCCGCGCATTTTATGCAAAGATTGACCATTGACGGAACCTTTGTACGCCCTCCGGTGTTGGGAACTTGGAAGACTAAGTAGTACCCTAAAGCCAACCTCGGCGTTTATCAATCTAATAAAACTCGCAAATCACGACGTCGTTACCGTATTTTTAAAGTTTTAAATACAATTTATATAGTACCAATAATATATTATTTCCTTTTTTTTACAGTCAGAGAAATGGTTAATGTTATATGTAACTCGGAATTACCAATATTCAATAATATGCAACATTTGGTACTTTGAATTATGACGACGAGGCCATCGACTGGTCGTTTTTAGAAACGAAAATAACAATTAACATTTTGTATAACTACTAGTATTTTCAATTTTATTTCAACAACGTTCAGACAAATCAGGAAAATCACAGGGTGAACAATGTAAGTAATTCTTCTAGAAAACAAAATGTAAATTTAAAAACCTGATGGTTACTCATCCAAAAGTGTGAAGTGTTCTTAGACTACTGGATTTTTGCTGAGCACGTGGTTATGAATCACTTTTAAAACTATTTCGCAAGTGTAAATTTAAATGATAACCAACGCATTTCATACACACAACCCTTCAATGGGTTTTCATATGGTGTATACTACCACTTTTAGAAACATGTCTGTGACTAACAATTTGGTTATATTTTTTTAATTTACAATAAACTACTTTAACAAATTCTAGAGTGAGTAATTCGGGGTCTAGAACGATATAAACGTGTACAATATAGCACCGTGTGTGGCGAAATAAACTGAATCCTTCAACACGATCTCAAAACACCAGTATATGATTAGTAAGCAATAGTACCCTCCATGGTAAAAAGGTTCAGACTAAATTTGGCAAGGAGACGCCCAAGCACTGAGAAATGATCAATTGAAAAAACAACGCATTAGTTTATCACGTATGTCAGTGCAGAGATCAAAATTACAACGTTCACTAGGTTGAGCATTACAATTTTTATTTTAAATTGATTATTTTAATTTGACAAGAGGATGGCGATGGTACATAGATGGTACTTTCAAAGTTGTTAGACTCCCCTTCACCCAATTAGTAAGCATCCACTGCTTCTTGAAGAAAGATAATGAAAGTTTTTTTAACTAAACCGGTAAGCGAGGTTTATTATTAATATTTATTATTATTATTATTCAATTGAGACTCCTTAAGTTGCTGGTAAGACAGTACAGTATAGTATATATTTTTAAAGAGAGGAAATGATCAATTTGTTAACAATATTTTAAAGACAATATAACTTAATGACCTTAATGTACTTTTATATTGCACTTAAAAAAACATTACACATTACAAGAAGCAGCTGTCTAATTTGGACCGTTGTTTGCTGATGGTCGTTTTAAGAGACGAAAATAACAATTAACATTTTGTATAACTACTAGTATTTTCAATTTTCACAAGACAAATTTTCTTTTATTTTCAGGTCCCACTTTGTTTTATTCTGATGTCCGGAAAGAGCAAGAAAGATTACATCAGTGTGTTACATGGCGTAAAGCAACTACTTCCAGAGGCCATCGCTCTTAGCGAGTGCATGGTAGATTTCGAAGAAGCGATGTGGAAAGCAATTCGAGATGTTTATCCTGCTGTGAACATTAAAGGGTGTGCGTTCCATTGGAAGCAGGCAGTCTGGCGACACAACCAGTCTACTGGCTTGCAAATAGCCTACATGGAGGATGAAGCAACATTCAAGCTGCTTCGTAAAGTGATGTCCCTCCCGTGTTTGCCAGTGGAAGTTATTCCAGACATGTTTACTAGACTTAGAAGACAGGCAACCACTGGAAGACTTGAGGAGGTATGTATAAAATTTAATAATCAGTACAAAAGCAGTGTAGTGTAGCAGTGCACAAGTTACATTAATAATGGCCAAAATACACAACAATAAAGGCAAACAATAACATATTGCAGTCAACTTGATATATGCCACATTTTTTCTGTTTAGGTGTGGACATCTGTATATAAATTATGGGTTTTTTTTATTTTTATATATTCACAGGTATTTCAGTATATCCAGATGCAGTGGATTGAATCTGCAGTCATGCCACCCTCCACATGATCCTGCTACATGCAAAGTACAAGGACCAACAATGATGCGGAGGGCTGGCATGCACGCCTCAACAGACGTGGTCATCAGAATCTAAATTTTTATTTACTGATACAGTTACTACACCGTGAGGCATCTCTACTATTGACACAGGCTCGCTTGGTACATGTATCTGAAAGCAAATTAAGAAAGAGACAGAAGAAAATATACAGAGTAATGCAAGAACGTATGTTCTTATGGGAGGAGTTTCGTATGGAGACCCGGTCAGCTGGAAAACTGTTAGCAGGAGTAGCAGCGATATATGGGAACCCAGTGATGCATCGATGAAGGCAAAAATAATAAAATACAATGAGAAAAATACTCAATACAGACAAAATTTCGACCATGCTTTTAAACTGAAATAGAAACACAACATTGTATATAATTAATAAAGTATTAGGGCCCGATTTACGCTAATTTATTTTAAATTTCGACCATACTTTTAAATTGAAATAGAAACACAACATTGTATATATGTATATAATTAATATAGTTATTAGGGTCTGATATAACTTAGGTGTCCTGATGTGATTGGAAGTATATTAAAATTTTGCTAAAGCAGTTTTAATTTATTCGCCATAACTATTTTCAAATATTTTGTCTGGAAGTTTGTTTCGAGGTTGAGTTTTATTTTTTTCAAGACATTTTATCACTGAATAATAAAATTATTATTACATTATTTTTAAAAAAAGAATTAAAGATGTAAATTTTTAATTTGTATTTCAATTTCTACGTAGACATTCCATATGTAATACATGTACTAATATATATATTTTTGGTATTTGTGATTTCTTGTAATTGTCTTGTACAGTGTGTGTTTTTATATTGCTCGATTGTATAAGCACCTGGTGTGCTACTTTATTTTTATTTGAGGGTAAATAAATAAATGTAATGTAAATGTAAATTATGCATTATATCTTTACTTTCATTGCTCCCCCAGGAAACAAAAAGTTCATGCAATATTGGAAGTGAAACTGGGGAAAACAAACACAATACTAGTAAAGTATTGTTGAATTGTTGTAGCTCTGTGTTTTACTGTGTCAAGTTATTAAAAAATTTTAATATTAAAGGAAAAATAAAGATTTATCAGATTGGAATTACATTAAAAACAGAAACAAAAACAAAAAAGTGTGACTGTCCCTCAACTCATTGTTTCCTCCCGATACACAAATGGTATGACCCACACAAGATGGCCGCAACGGCATAAAATTACGTTACATCCCCGTTGTAAACTTCACGTTCGTCACCTTATAAAAACAAATTTCAACTTCTACGTTATCTTGTTTTGACTACACGTAAATAACAAACATACGAGGAATCAGGCGAACTGGTAATCGGGCGAAATGGCAATCGTGCAAACAGGTAATCTGGCGAAACCGTTCGGGCGAAGTGGTAATTGGGCGAAATACCCCCAATATAAACATTGTTAGATTTTTTGAGGAGAGGTTGCATCGCCCGAATATACGATAGATAAGTAGTAAAACCAAATACCTTCGAAAAGATCTCCTGTTTTCTTTCAATGTTGTTTCGCCGTCAGCTCCGGAACAGTAGTAAATCCATGTCATAAGTGATAGGTGTTTTTCAGCATACTTTTCGAAGTCGTCGAGACACACACAGTGAGCATCGGCAGCCATTACTGATATAAGTGTTACACAGTGTTATCGCATATGTGCACATTTAGTTTGCACTGCTGACAAAGGTCATCCTATTCTTGTACCCTGGACATTAGTATCAATAATTGTGAGCTTCGAAGTGGGTTTATAATTATATGTGGATAAAACGATGATAATAACACTAATACATCCTGGCATGTTGAAAAGACGGACCATATAGTCAGTCAGGTCACGCCAGGGGTCACGCACTCCGTGGCAGCACGGCAGTGTGATTAAAATACGTCATGGCGTGACACGCACGGAAGACTTCATTCAACACTCACCAAATGGAAAATGAAAAACCGCCGTGGTTTCAAATCACACTAGACAGACACTCACTCAAACATATATTTGTCGAGACATTTATTCTCTCAATTTAACAACCCGCAAAACAACTTCAGTGAATGAAAACAAGCAGACGGTGCCGAATAATGCATCAACAACTGTGTTATACATAAGCAAAATATAAGCATACAAGGATCGTAAGCCTGAGGACAGAGGATCAAATTCCATTTGTGCCTCTTTATTTTCAACAAATACTGACATGTATTGACCCACATGGTTCAGTGGATATGTATGCTACGCTAGCAGTTAACCATCTACAAGTCTGATTAACAAGACCACCTGGCAGAGGAACATCGCTGCGCTTCAAATGGGTCCCTGGTATTAACCCCCACCCCCTAAGGGTTGCTAATTTCCCCTATATCGCTCAGTTTAGACCTAGAAATTATTGAACATTCATAAGTACAGAAACTACACGTCATGAATAAATCAGCATAATTAAACAAATTCATAAAGTGTAGGTACGTCTTCTGAGATTATACCGAATCTTGTAGACAAAAGACAACACAAAAGATTACCGATAAAGATTTCAATTTCTTCTGTGTAAAAACTAATATTTCCATATGAATCGTTAATGACCGCATTTATGTGTTAGATATGTTATATATTATTGGCTTTTGAACGTAAACGCAATGCTTCTATTGGCTGTTTTTATGATTAGCTTTTAAAATATTATTTGGAATCCAATTCTGAAAATGTCCAAGCGATTCGTAGTCACCCATAATGTAACTGATACTAGGGTTGAAGCGCTCCATTTTTAGCTCCGCTGTCGACTTTGTCGAGCGGAGCTTATCATATGAGTGATTGTCCGTCGTCGTCGTCCGTGTCAATGTTTTACTTTTTCGACTTCTTCTTGAAAACTACAAGCCTGAATGCTTTGATACTTGGTGTATATGTACCTTGGGTAGACCTCTCTCAGATTTGTTCATTTCATGATGATATCTTTAATTCTCTAATTCGGTGAA